TACCAAAGCATATCAGAATACAAATGCGAGTTCCCAAAACTCTTAAGAAATCGTGTCTGGTATAGTATATCCTCTGAGTGCGAAGGGTGGTTAACTCCTGCAGCTCTGCAAAAGGCAGCCCTGAAGAGCGTGGCTGCGGGCGGCTGGTACTAAGAGCGGCCGAGGCGGTGAGCACGGGGGACTTCTGCATGCCAAGAGACGGGCTTAGGTGTAAATCCATGAGTTAAACTCTTCCCAGCTTTAGATCCCAACGTTACTCCTGTTAAGCAGACAGATGAAAATGTGTGCTTGCCTTGATGTATTTTAAAAATCTGAAGAGATTTATGCTTTTTGTTGACTGCAAAAGGTGGTTTCAAAATATGATAAACTCTCTCCAAAAGAGATAGGGACTGAGACTGATTTTCAAACCTTTTGAAAAATCCTGGTTGGCTGCATGTTTTCCTGCTTATGGGAACACTTACTTCAGCAGTGATTAGCTTGATAGAAGTGTTTAATTTTGGAGTCTTCTGTCCTATTACAGGTTTGACTAAAAATCCTGAGGGATGAAAATGCCTCAATTCAGCTGCTCCAGCGGAGTCAGGGGCACGACTGTAATGAGCAGGCAAAGCCCATCTTCTTATCCGTTACCTAGAGTACGTGTTAGCTTTGCGCGGTGAAGCCACAGAGTATATTTGTATTGCTGTTGAAATCTTCAACTTGCTTCTTTTAATGCTCCCCTGTATGTTTCCTGAAATTGGAAACAACATGTCCTGTGAAAAGCATTTGAGCTTCATGACTTTGCTGATTGTGCTCATTGCTCTGCTGGCTGTGTCCAGGCATCATGCTGTAGCTAAACAAAATACCTTCAGCTGATGTAGGGGAAAAGAGATTTGCTAATAAGCAGGCATGGAACAGAGGGACTTGCTAGAAATTGAATTAGTGTTTTTAGAAGAAGGAAGGAAAAAAGCTTTCCCACTTTCTGGCTCTTGGAGGAATTCCCAGGATTAAATCCAAGCAACCTGTCATTCAGCATCCTTGACTTAAATATAAAAGGAAAATTGTTCCTTTTGTGCTCTCTATGCTGCATTGTGTGGTGGGGACAAGAGTCAGGCATCCGAAAACCAGCTAAATTTCTCTTTTTTTCTCCTGTCTTAATAAATGATGGCCACCAAGAACGTGCTTGAGACTCTGTATAGAGTGAGGTACCGCTCAGTGCAAGTAAGTGGCATCTGGCTGTTGGTGTCCGAGGGGCAGTGGAAAGAAATGCAGTATCTCAGGCACAATAGCCAACCCAAAGTGCCTGATGGGCACTTTATATCCCTACGGCAGTGCGGGGTGAGGCACTGCTTGCTGCCAGCGCTGCTCCTACCACAGCTATGTATGCACGACTGCCCCGGCTTCCTGCGCCTCCTGCCAAGAGAAACATTCCCATACGCTGTGTCGCGTTTTCCTTCTGCTGGAAACAGTTCCTCGGGATATATATATTGTATTTATAAGGGCAGCCCTTACCTGTATGTGATAATGCACAGGCTGTGTTCATGCAACATTGATAAATGCATCTTGAGGAGGAGGAGGTGGTTTGATGAGGTTGTGCAAGGGGTGGCCAAGGCAGGTGCTTGCTGCAGGTTGTCTTTTTTTGTTTGCCGTGGCTCATTCCCCTCCAAATAATCCCTTTTCCTCTGCTCATTCCTTCCCCCAGTGGGAAGGGACAGGCTGGGGGTCTCCAGCAAGGTGGTGACAAAGAAGGTCGGTCTGGCTCGGCACTGGTCGAGGGCACTCACTGCACATCGTGCTGCATCGGTACGGCGACCACACACAAAACCACCCCAAACTCCACCTGCTCCCTGGGCCTGGGTCTTCAAACAGCTCCTTTCTAGCTCTGCCTCATGTTTATCTGGTGTGGGACAGCTGTGTGAATCATGTTTGCCAGGAGCGGGGAGGCCTGGGCTCCAGGAGCTGCAAATGCTGCGTGTCAGGAGGTTGGTTACGCTTTGTAATTGATGGTCCTAGAAGGCAAGCGTGAGAAAACAAATTGCAGCGTTCTGTTTCGTAGGCTAAAAGAGTTCTCCTCGGTGAAACTTCTCAGGCCAGCTCCTAGGAAGGGTTTGCAAACCCTCTTAATTTAAGAGAGGCCATAAAAAGCAGGGAAAAAAAGCCAGCAGAGAAAAGCAAATTAGGTCCCGAAGGGGGGAAATTTTTTCTGATCTTGAATTTGAGAACTGGAAAGAAATCCATCTGGTTCTAGGTTTCTGAGAACGAATGTATGAGTGTTTTCCACAATGCGAAGCCTTGCAGAGGTCTCATGGGAAAACACTGAAACAGCCTTTGAGATGAGAAAAAGGAGACTGAGCTCAGTCCTGGGAACAGCTTTTTGTGCAACAGGAAAGTTGTGCAGCAGAGAAACTGAGAGCGACAAGGAAGGCAAAGACTGGTGTGCTCTCAGAGGGGTAAATGCTTTCTGTGCGTTTCCCACAAAGCCATTAGCTGCCCTTGACATGAAGCACAGCTCTCCAAAGCCTGCAAAGAACTTGGTGGAAAAGGCTGAGGGACATCTATTGCTTCATCTCCGTGGTCTTGGTCTGGTAGATGTTGGGGTGGCAGGAGTGCTCTGGTGTCCGTCAGTAGGAGCCTGTTGATCCCTGTGGATGCTGCTGGGTCACCTGTGGCTTTGTAACACGGCTGAGCAGACGTAAGGGTGAGCTGCCACCACCATGAGCATCATCCTCCCGCAGGGACAGGCCGCCGGTGGCGACCGGGGATGCCGAGCACCTCGACGGTGCAGGGAGGGCTCTGCAATGCCCCATTTCCATCATCGGGCTTTCATGCCTTTTGGAGAATGCCCAAGCAATAAGTTTTAGCTTTAGAGCAATGTTCGCTCTTGATGTACAAATTGTTGATCTTAACAGGAATGAATGGCCAACGCTTTACAAACTACCTCGGATTAAAGCAAGTCCATGGAGATTATGGTCTCTAGGCCCTTGGATGGAGGAGGTTTTCATTCCAGAAATAGCTGGCAGCCCTGTGCTCCCCAGCGAAGGGTCTGGGTGTCCCTGGCATGGAGGAGCCTGTGAGGCCAGAGGAGAGAAGAGCAGAGGACCCTGCCCTCTTCTCCGCAGGCAGAGGCTCCAGCTGCCCATTCTCTCAGACCGAGTGCACATCTGGGCCCCGATGCACAGATAATTAACAATAATGGCTTTTTCAAAGCATAACTCTGGCCTGCCAGGCAGCATGGGCCATTGCTTTTTTCTCCCCGAAATGTTTATGATCCGTCTTTTCCTCTTGGTGTCACGGTTGAAAGTGTTTTCTTTATTTCCCTTGAAATCATAATGTAAATCTGGGAATTGGAAACCCATAGCCTGGTTTTAATTTTTTTTTAAAGAACATAAATTGGGGAACAGTTAAAAGTACATTATTCCTGGCAGCAAAATTCCTTTTTTAATAGATAATTTGAAGTTATTAGGTTGGAAGCAGTTTTCCCCACGTGTGTGTGCATGCACGGTGTGGAAGGAGCAGTGCCGAGAGGGCTCAGGGTGGCTGTCAGGGCTTTCGGGGCGGTGGAAGTGCCGGGAGCTTGCCGGAGTCTGCAGTTTTTCAGCTGGTGGCAGAAAAAAAACTCAAAGGCACCATCTCGTAGTTCTTGGTTAAGCCCGGGCTTTATCAATGGGAGTTTTGCCTTAGGAAGAACTGAAAGATTGGACTTTCAAGATGTTTTTCTAGCAGGATCTGGTTTTTATTTCTCTTAGGTGTTCATTTTTACAAGGCTTGGGAGCACCAATGTTTTCTGCTATGCACCAGTGGTAGACATTTGTTTCCAATTAGTATTTATTGGATTATTTTAGTCAAAAGTAAGCTTTGTATTAGAGCCCTGCAATCTGCGCCTTGTTATTTGTTCACAGGACGGTGTTTTCTTTTTCTGTTTGGTTTTGCATCAGCTTCAGTCTACTGAAAAACTAGTGCAAGGCAGCATCGCTGGGGATCTGCCCTGAAACAGATTAAACCAGATTAAACAGATTACAACCTCTTATACAAGCATCTCTTTCTTCCATCAGTACGGGCATGTTTCTGACTCGTATGGCTGGAAAGAGCAGCAGCCAGCGCATGTCCTTAGGCTGTGTCTGGCTTTCTGCTGCTTTTCCCGATAGCTGGAATTTGCCCCTCTCTGGGGAAGGGGCTGCTGGGCGCTCCCCAGGCTGAGCGTTAGCGGGTGAAGCCTGGCTCAGGTAGGTACTGTTGGATTTATGGGTGTGTGCGGGGCTGACTAACAAAGCTTTGGAAAAACACATAGGTAATGTTTTATGTAGGTAAAATAATATGGAAAACTTGCATTTTAATGGCATCTGAGTTCCTGACTTGAGGTCATACGACAAAAAGATTTCCATAGTTTGCTTTGGGAATTAAAAAGCCAATGAAAATATGAATACCGAGCTAAACCCTTGACCAATGTGTTTCTGACACTGCTAATGACTGATCTTAATTTGGGAGAAAACCTCCCAAAAACGGACACAGATTTTTGTGGACAAGCGTAGTTGCAAGTAAGTGAAAATACCAGGATTGGCCCCTTGGCTTCAGGTCTTGCCCAACCTGTGCAGGTAGCTGCAGAGCTTGGGTTTTATCGTGGTTTGCTAATGTAAATCAGGAGTGATTGCCCCAAAGTCAGGAGAGCGATAAGTGCTCTTGGAGTGATGTCACGCGAAATGAGAAGCAGACTCGCAGCCTTTCTTTTGCGGAAATAACAAATATGCTTTTACAGGAGAATAAGTGCAGAATACTTGGCAGTGGCTCACCATTGAGAAACAGGCAAGTTCATTTGGTCGGAGACCAAGAAAAGCTGCACAGATTCAGCAAGATTTAACTGCAGGTTGAGTCTGAGTTTTCCTTTTCCTGCTGCATATCTCCATTTTCCACAGTGCATATAAAATATTATTACTGCAAACTGCACGTCCCAACGCAGTCTCTCCGTGTATATCATACTAAGAACTATAAATCTCACAGGTTTTTTTCTGCTTTTTTTTCTCTTCCAGGACAACGGGCCTGCCCAGAGCAGGAGACCGATGCCCCACGGGGCTGGTGGCAACCCCATGGACAACAAGCAGATGCTGAACGTGCAGCACCACCACCCAACCCGGCTCTACGCTAACAGCGGCTCTGAGGGGGCTCTGCCGGGCCAGCTGAGCGGGCTCCACATCGCTCCTGCCCAGAGGTAGGACGAGAGCATGGCTCACGCTCTGGGTCCTGCTGCTGTTTATGCGAACTCGGTTTCAGGTGTGTGCGTTGAGGCTGTGGTGCTCCTGGAGCTCCAGAGATGCCAGGTTCAGCTCCTGCTCCGCTAATCGAGGGTAGGTGGGAGGAAAAGAAAAAAAAGGTTTTGGAGATGCCAAGTTCTGAACAAAATGGCCACGTGTATGTATGTAGCAATTGCAACACTGAATTTAAGCTTGTGATGCTGAAGCAATGTTCAACTGTTTACCTCTGAGATGAGCAGAGGTGCTGGTTTTCCAGATCCACATAAGACCCTTCTATTGCCGATGGGGGTAGGTAGATTAGCGGCATCAGATCCAGTCCCCAGGCTGGGATTAATGGCAGGGAGTGTCACAGACATTACTGTCCTGGTTTTTCAAAATATATATTCAAGGCAGGATGGAAGGGGTTCGTCCTCTTAGGAGTGGGGTCACACTTCCACAGACCCCAGAGCAAACACTTGGCCTTGGGAACTGGAGGTTTCTGCAGAGAAAATTAACCCCAGCAAACTTGGGATGTTTATAAATGTAAGATGTGCTCAATGCAGCTGTCTGGGAGGCTGGGAAATAAATAATGCCCGTAGGAAAGAAAAAGCTTTTGTGTAGCCAAGAACAGTTTGGGTGGATAACTCGGACTTTGAGACAGGCCAGGTTGTAGGCTGCGATGCTTTCGCATGGCTTATGCTGCTGCTGATTTATGCTCCTCCAGACTGGCAAAATATTCTGCAAGAAAGTAATGTCTGTATCATATACAAAGAGCAAAGAGTTTCTTTTCAGCTCGGCAACTATGCGCCTGCATGAATTCATATTTCAGTGACGCTGCGAGCCAGCTTATTCCCTGTGCTGCTCCAGGAAAGTTAATGAAGTTGGAAAGAAGAGAACCACACAAAAAATACAGAGAACAAAATCTGATGTTATCTGCATGCGAGCCAAAAGCCAGAAGATTAGCTTGGGTGTTTGAGTAGAATTGGGTCAGAAGTGCATTCTCTTGGAATTTGTGCTTGCTCAGGCTGAACTGGTCAAAACCTGCCTTTTTTTTAATTGAAAATGTGTGAATTGATGTACGAGAGGGCTGTAGCAGGGCAGATAGGGACTCGGGGCACCCGGGGAGGGTGCGGGCTGGCCGGGAGTCACGGGGATGGGTCCTCAGCTGCCTCGGCAGCCCTGGGCCCTGGCAGCAGCACTTCTGCCCCTTGTCTCGAGAGGCTGCGGCTGGCAGAACCACGGGAGAAGCTGGTGGGTCGCTCCCAGAAAACAGAGCTTTGGCTTTTCTTGGAAAGTGAATTTTATTTGTTTTTTTTCTTTGTTTGAAAGTGAATTTTATTTCTTACTTTTTTTTTTTTTTTTTTGAGTGGGCATGAATGTAATGCTGGTGGAGAAAATGAGTCAGATGATGGCTCAAATGTGTTAAGCTGTCTGATGAGGTTCAGGGCTCTTGCTATTTTTACTGGTTTTATAATGACCTTGATGACCTTCTCCTTAAAAAGGAAAAGGAGCCCCTTCCCACGAAGCTGTGCTGTGGGGCCTCAGCGAAACGCAACAGCACTTGAATTCGCCTCTACTCAGCAGGACACTTAAACATGTACCCGAAATATTTTTGATTCCAAACTATGCTTTTCGTGTTTTCATGTATCGAATGAACTGGAATAATGGTTTAAATTACTATTTGTTGTCTCTTGTACCCCAATCATGCTGCATACAGACAAGGAGCAGCTTCAGGTCTGGATGCTGAAGGTCAGCGCATGGCTGGGGGGGAGTTACGGGGCTGCTCTCGTGTCCCGTCCTCGGTGCTGTGCAGCCCGGTGGGGTGGTTTTCTCATTTAAGCTGTGGGCTGTGTCTGGCAAATGGATCTTTTAATGCAGTCACCTACAGAAACATTAACTTCAAAAGAGGCGCTTGTGGATGGGAAGGGGATTTGCTGCCATGCCTGTGCCTGGCGGCAGCACACGCTCGCCCTGTGCCAGATGCCCTAACAGTGGTATGGGGGGTGGGTGGATCCCCTGGCCCTACATAATTAATGAAATGCATTGTTTTACCCACTTTTTTCAATAAATTCCATGTGTGGCAGAGCGATTTACAGTGCTTGTAAGCAGCTGCCCTCTTTCCTGAAGGCATGTGGTAACTGGGCCAGCCCTGGCTGTGTTGCTCAATCGGAGCTGAACAGGGAATGAGTTTAACTTCCCTGGTTCAGTGGCTGTTCCTGGGACAGGCGTACCTCCAGGCAGGGCAATGCATGGGAACAGAGAAGTGTTTAATTGAATCTGTGGGAATGTGGAGGTTTCAGTACCTCCCAGATGAGCTGACAATTGCTGTTTATATTTGACATGAGGCTTTCTTCCTTTTCTTTAAAACAGCCTCGACCCCTTGAAGTCTCTTCCACGGAACAGAAATGGGATTGATGTGGAGTCAGATGTCTACAAGATGCTTCAGGATTACGAAAAGCCTGTTTCGGAGCCTAAGCAGTCCGGATCCTTCCGATACTTGCAGGGCATGTTGGAGGCTGGCGAGAACGGTAGGGAGGCTGGCACCCATAGCGTGTCCCAACAAGTCCCCTACACCTCCCCACGACCGTGGCTGCGGCACTGCACTGCTGTGGGGCTTGAACTATCATTTGATCCTCTGCACCCCGTCCCATGGCCCCACACCAAGTTGCTGTTGCAGGCTTAACCTCCTTCTCCTTCCCTTACTGAGGTCCAGAAGCTTGAAAAGCCTCTAAAGGACCCGTCTGCAAGAGCTGATGGGGTGGGTTTGCAAACTCCTCCGCTCTGTCATTTTACTGCACATCGCCTCGGTGCCGAGGCAGCTCAGCTCAACGTGGGAGGGTCCGAGCACCCTGTGGGGGGAACACCCGGATGGCAGGTTTCTAATCAGGGTTTCAGATGCTCAGGCCAGCACCTGGGGGCTTAACAAATTTTGTGGCCGACTTGAGCATCGTGTGAAAGTTGGATTTGCAAACAGCTTCTGCATGGCAGCTGTTTTCCTGAGGTGGTTTATGAAATGTAATGGCCTAAAGCGGTTGTGTAAGATCACCGGTGGAGAACTGTAGGCCTGTTTGAGTAAATGGCATTTGCATAAGGACGTGGGATGGTCCTCAGCAGCGCCGGGATAGAGATCAGGAGCTCTTGGCTCACTTCTCAGGTCTGTCGCAGCTTCCTGCCTGCGTCGTTAATGTGGGCAGGAGCCAAATCCGAGCATTAAATAATAAGATCCCCAAACTATACATGTCAGCTTCTTTTTATTTGCCTTCCAACCTTAAGTCCATTGGGGCTTTTATGTTCAAACTTTCAGGCTTTGCTTTACAATCATTAGGGCAAGACTCTTCTTTCTGCTTCCTTCCAAGAGCCTCATACTCTGATCATGTGAATCCAGGAACTTAGACTTTATGGGAAAATACCAACTACTGCAAATCTCATTACGAAGCTGCGAGAGGTAGCGAGTCAGGCTGTTGCACTTCAGTTTCTGTGTATATAAAATGATGGAGAACAATATTCTTTGACTAGAAGGATATTGCTTCTTGCTTCACAAGAAGCACGGTCTCAGGTAACTTCTGCGCATCAATTTTAGTTTTCTCAGTAGTACTTAGGCATGTCTACAAAGCATGAGATGGGATCAGCCTTGGAAGTACTGGGTGTAAGTATTACGGCCCCTCCTAGGCTGGCAGGAAAAACGATGTTAATTACAAGTTCCAGATGTACCTTCAGGTCCTTCACCGAGAGCAAGCACAAGCGGCTTCCCAGCAAGGTGTCTGCTGCACCCCCAGGTCTCCTCATTAGGAAGAAGCAAATAGGAAGCACTTGTGTTAATCCCAATTAATAATGCTGCTGCCATTCCTCCTCCCTCCTCTGTGCCAGGGAAAGGGAACAAAACTGAAGCTGTTCTAGTTTGCTGCTCCCTCCCCGTGCATCCCATGGCCCTGGGGTGGCAGAAACCCAGCGCTGCCCTTTGGGAGAAAGGGAGAAAGAAAAGGGTGTGGGCTGGGGGAAGGGGAAAACAAAGAGGTGCCAGGACAGTCCCCAGACCCGGGGACTGTCCCAGCCAGTCCTGGACCTCTGCTCACCCCGGCAGCGTCTCGGCGCCAGCCCATCACTGATGCAGCACCGTGTGTTTGGAGCCTGGGGCTGAGGCGCTGCTGATGGGTACCAGCCAGCGCGGCGGCAGGCTGGAGAGGTCACCTCCCGGCCCTCTGCCACTGACCCTTTCCCTCTTGGCTGTGCAGCGGGGATGTACAACTGGCTGCAGGCACAGTCTTGCTCATGCCTCGGTCGTTACGATGCTATCGTAACGTGTTTATTTCATATCGTGTTTATTTCATAAGGGATGAGAAATTAAGTGAAAAGCATCTCTCCTGGCATAAAGCTCTGTGATGTTTCAGCACAGTTGAAATTCCTGTGAGTGTTCCTGCTGGGTTGTTTTACAGCTTCCACCCCTGCTCCTTTTTCCTTAAGCCTAAAATTACACGTTTTTGCCCAAGCCTGCTGTATGTTGTCCTTTTAAAGTCAAGATCTTCTCTCCTGAGGAGCTGGGTCTCTCAGGCAATGACCTGTTTTTTTATGGAAGGTGTTTCTACTGGAAGGCGTATTTTCTTCAGCATTGCCAGCTCCATCCCGCACCTCTGAGGAGCCATGTTTCATGCTGAGGATGTGGCGGAGGCTGGAGGAATCGCAGCAGTCGTCTCCATAGGCACCCTTGGCATGGGAAGGATGAGCACTGCAGCCACAAACAGGGAAGGCGATGGTTAAGATTGTGGAGTTAAAGCATCTCACTGCCTTGCTGAGGACCATAAATTACGATGAGACTGTGGGCTGGTAAATAGAAGGAAATGATCCATCGTTTGGGAAGATGGGAAGCAGCCCTCTCTGCAGGGCTTGTTTTGCTATAAAATCTTTTTTCTTTTTTTTTTTTTCCTCCCCCCTGCTGTCTTTTAAGCAGCTTATCCAAGAGCTCTGTCTGAAAGACAATGACAGCTTAACTGTTAAATGTTGGCAGATGAGTGTGTCTAGTCCAAGCACGCCGTATCTCACGCTGGGGGAAGCCAACAGCTTGAGCGGTTGTTTTGGTTTGTTCCCAGCAAGGCAGCGGAAGGACTCAACAGGCGAGCTTGGCCGGAGCCAACCGAGCACTCAGAGGACTCCTGGGGTGGAGCAGCCCCAGTCCGCTCCTCAGCAAGCAGTCTTGCATGTACCAAGGCTCTCAGCATCTCTGAATATTACAGTCTATCTTGGGAAAGTGGGATTTGGTGGGAAATCAGTTGTTTTGGTTTTACTTGCTTAGCTGGGACCATTGGCAGTGTTGGACTCTGGATCGGAGCCATGGCTGGAGACAAGGTCTGCTGTGTGAGGGTGCCTGCACATCCCTGGGGAAATAGGGTCGGGCATGCTCCCTCCTCCCCAGCTGAGCCCAGGACCACGGGCGCTCCTGAGACACACAGGATGGAGGAGCAGGAGTCTCTCCGTGGAAGGAAGCTCTGCCGAGCAATGCATTTCAAAACGTACCACGTGAACCTGCATGGGATCAGTGAGCGACCACCAGCGATGATGCACCGCTGCCAGGTAGTAACTTCACTTTAGGAAATGCAGAGATGTTCCTGGAGCTGCGGTGGGCACTTGAGAGCAAGATTCAAGTGGAAGTTTCCAAAACTGGCGCAGTGCGTACAGACACCTGGGTCAGAAAGTGCCTGGGCCCCTGCTGAGACCTCCTGGGCATCATGGGCTTTAAGCACACGTTCAAAATTGACCATGGGCTGAAATACCCTCGAAGCTCAGGGAGCATCAGAAGCCTGAACGCTGAAGAATGGCTTGTTCATCCAAGAGCTCCTCTGCTTCTTTTCCGAACTGTGTCATCTGATGGAATAAAATACGTTGTCCTTCTTCATGAGCTTTTCCTTTCTGTAACCTCAGGCCATCACAGAGGAGCCACAGATCAATAAATACCCAAAAGACCAGTCAGTTGTGAGCCCTGAAAAACCATGCAGTGAATACTGGAAGCTTTCAAGTGTCCCAGTGGTTGGCAACAAGTGTGTCTGTACTGTCCGAAGTGCGAGGGCAGATGATAGATGATCGGTAGGCTGCAACACTGGAAACTTTGCCATGATGTTCATATGCACAAAATTTCCATTGCTTCCTTTCTCATCATTGGACCTTTACGAAAGGGGGCTTGGTCCCCCAGCAGACCTCCTCTTCTCTCACAATGTTTTATTTTAGATTAATTTAGATTATTTGAGATTAAATGAGTGTTCTAGGAAGAAAAATGCATGTAGTTCTATTATTGTTTGTTTTAATTTGCCTAGCCTCCACAAGGCTTTCATCTTTGTCTCCTTGCCTGATGGTGGATCTACCAAATGCACCTGAAGCGTTGGTGTGATAGAATCTCTTCTTTCTGGGGCTTTTCTGAGATTTTTGCTATTTATCTTTCTTAACTCACTAAATAGTATTGTAGCCAAATTAATCTCTCATCTCTAGACTAAGGCTGCTTTGCCTTTTGACAAGGTATATGTGCTGAGTTGGTGCTATCACAGTACCTGGATAGATCATCTGCCGATGCAGCCAAAGGCTTCTGCTACCATCCATGCTTCGTTAGGATGAGCAGAGGGTCAGCACAGTGTCCTGCAGTCATCTGCAAACCTGAATGCTGTGTGACTTTTGAGATAATTGGTCTCACTGTTTTGCTTTTTACTTCCTTGTAAGCAAGTTGCAGGTTTTGTTGTGACAGGCAGAGGCTCATCTGACTCCATAAAGAAGAAGAAAGAAAAAAAAAAAAAAAAAAAAAAAAGGAGGGGGGAAGCCTTGAGAGGATAAGTTGGCTGGGAACCGACCCCGGGGTGAAAATGCTCTGGCAGGAGGGGACCCCCAGCTCTG